CTCAAACCATTCAGAAACCAACGAAAATCTAGCTAAACTCGCAATATGCTCTTACCTTTTTTTGAGATGTGGAGGCGATTTTGCCGATTTATCTGTACTTCATTTGATTTTTTCTTGTCAAATCCCCGAATTGTCAAATCCGTGACTCTAGCAACCGCCCACACACTTCGATTTCTCCCCTTGTGGCAGTGGGGTACATGGTCATCTTCCCCGCATAAGGGAAGTGGGGTGCATGAATAAATTTGGGGTTATTAGAAACACTTTGCCTCACATTATTTTTTCTCCAACGAGTTCAGTTATGCGATACAACTTCCCCTAAATCTTTGTTATGGTTTTTTTTGCGGGCAATCTTTGTTATGAAATTTATTCATGTATAATATGACTGATGTTAGATGTATTCAGGTCATATTTCTTTTCTCAAACATGAGAACCTAGTTATTTTTGTCAAACAGTTCTTCAGGCGTTCTAGTACAACAGGATTTAGGATGCCTCGACTTGGAGACCCAGAAGCATCTTCGATCTTGAGAATTGCAGCAGAGTTCGGGTACCTCTCTTCCATCGTCGCAGGATGCTGGTTTGATAACAACCTATATAGATACGGAGTGAGCTATATGCCCACCTTCTTATATTGGAGCAGAACCATGCGGTGTCTCGGAGATGCTTTCATGGCATGGAACCTTCTTTGGTTAGTTCTTGATGAAATCGATTCACCCATGGCGCGGCCCTTTACTTGGGGGAGAATTTAAGTGATGTAAAACTAACAATTTCTCAAAACCGCAACCAAATTGTGTAGCACTCCATCCATTCTAAAGTAAATGAAGTTCTAGCTTTGTCTGAAGTGAAACTTGTTTAATTTTAACTGGCAAGTAAGCAAAAACTAGTAAAATGTCCGTGCTATGCTACGGGATCACAAAGATTGGAGATCAGGTGAAACATTGTTTATATAGTGAGGAGGAGTCTATGTTGCTACAACACCATAAAAAAATGTACAAGACATTGATCAAATGATGTTATATTGTTCAAACATAATGTTTCCAAATGATAAATCTTTCGGTCCAAGCTAAACAATGACCATACAGAAGAGTGTAAATCAATTCGATGAACATGGGCGACTGGTCCTAATTCCGTAGGGTGTGCCTGAGTTTCTTCTCGCATTTATATGCCAGGACATAGGAGTACATGATGTATCGTTGCTACATCTGCCAAACAAAAGCATGTGAAAGCTAGCTACATGCATACACTTATGAGCATTTTAAATGGTGCATAGCAGTAGGGCAACCTGGTGCATGTAGCTCCCGCTTGCGCAGGGTCCAGGGAAGGGTCCGACCACTTTGGGTCTATAGTACGCAGCCTTTCCCTACATTTTAAATGGTGCATAGCAGTACTGACCTAAAATGAAAAGCTTCTAACCCCTAGCAGAGCAGCGTAACAACCAAAAGAAAATCCTTCTAATGCTTAGTATCAAAATAAACTGAGGAATAAGCAAAGGGTTATCATGCCCGATTAATCTGCATCTTTGCAAAGCCTTCACCTACTTTTCCCCAAGGAGAGAATCCAAGGAATCAAGCAAAATCCACATGTACGATGAAATACTTCCTCCTCAACACCGAAATGTCATCGATGTTGGGTAGAGGAGGAGAGGATGAAGCATTTGAGCGGCCCGACATCCTTCATGCATATATATATATATATATGCACAACGAGAAGAATGAGAAGAAGACAAAAGATCGATCTACGAGAATAACAACATCTCCTAGACCAACCTACGAGATCCCAGGTACCTACGGGGCCCTAGAACGAGAAGAAGACAAAAGACAACTTCGTTGCGAATAACATGTACAAATAACATCAATTAACTAAAGTCATCCAACGATATCGTGCACAAATAGATAGGATTGCAAGGTCATGCTTCATCCCATTGCCTTAAAAAATTAATCAAACATTGGGATCGGATCACAAGGAAAAAATATTTTAGAGGACATAAAGATACGTATGATTGATTGATAAATTGTCTTACAATGTTGCTGATTACGATGCACCGATTACAAGTATGGCTATTTAGGGGAAGAATGTCGGCAGTGGTGATGGAAGTGATAGTGATGGAGATGAGATGGGAAATGACAGAGGCTAGGGTTTGTGAATGGCTTTTGGTGGTGTTTCATTGCTTGCTACAGTAAAATCTAAAAAAGTTACTAAAAATTGCATGAAAATAAAATATGCTTTTTTTTGCAACAAATATTAATGTGTTTTCACATGCGTGCAAGATTTCCGATTGAACGACATTTGTGGAGGTCGGGGCAAAAAAGGGAAAATCGCTGCTTCAAAAAGATTGTTTTCGGAGCATCATTTTTCTCTCCAGACACCATAAATGTCATTTCATCACAAAAGTTTGCACACGTGTAAAACACACATCAATGTATGTTTCTTTAAGAAAAAAAATGTAGCGAAAGGATGCATGTTAGCTCGTGCTCAGGAAAGAACTTTCAAGCGCCTTTGATCACGAGTAACATGTCCCCAAAAGTCAAAAGACAGAAGTGATCCCTGCATCAGTAAATAGTGACAGGACATCCGCAGATTTCTTATTCAAGTTAGCAGACATGATTTGGCCAGCGGACTCTCTCGGTAGAAGGATCGCGTACGAGATGCTGCGACCCATTCCAAAGCTGAGAAAGTGTGATGAACTGATCTTCGGCACAAAGAAAGGGATCATCGACTTGCGCAGAACGATATGACCTGCGCAGCCGTGCAGTGCTGCACCTCCTTTGGACTAGCTAGCTAGCAAAGCAAGCATGCGTAAAATTGAAGGCGTGGAAGCGTATACCTCTAGGCAAGGGCGCGTGTGTGTATATAGATCAATAGGATTACAATTGGCGCGCGGCAGGTTAGTTAGTATTTTTTTTAGCATCAGTACAAACACAAGCGCTCATATACACGATAACGCGAGCACCAGGATTTGAACCCTGTTGGGTTGGGAATACCCCTGTCCACCTAACCAACTCAACCACATAAACACACGCACACACATCACGTACAAGGTACATACTGAGATAAGGATCACCTAAGCCAAGCTATACAAAGATAAGGATCGCCTCTGACAACCTGCCTTGTACAACACATGAACACACGCACACACATCACGTAAAAGTTACATTTATGGCACGTACACATATACAAGCCTATTGTTTAACATGATGGACCTGTCGATCGCTTATAAATACATCTCCAGTTCGTTCATCCTCTTCCATATCTCACCCCCTCTCGCTTAATAGCCAGTCTCATCTTAGCTTCATATACATGGCGGCAAAGATGGCGAAGAACGTGGACAGGCCGCTCTTCACCGCGACGTTTAACGTCCAGAGCAGCTCTGCCGACTACGTCACCTTCATCACTGGCCTCCGCAACAAGCTCAGCAACCCCGACCACTTCTTCCACAACCGCCCCGTGCTGCCGCCGATCGAGCCCAAGGTCCCGCCGAGCCGATGGTTCCACATCGTGCTCAAGACATCGCCGGCCAGCACCGGGCTCACGCTCGCCACCCGCGCCGACAACCTCTACTGGGAGGGCTTCAAGAGC